ATCTGACCGGTAGTTTTCCGTGGTTTCTCCGATCAACACTAGGCGAATGCCGGAGCAGTACCATAACAAAGGGCCATGGACAGCGCACGATCATTCCTATCTCTTCCTTGACCTATCCTCACATCTCAGTTACACACACACACACACACACACACACACAAGCACTGAACTACATTTCCACATCTATCGGGAACTTGGAGCTTGTTCCGTCTATGGCGGTGCCCCGTTGCGGTAGATACCTGAAGACTCCATGGCCCGTTTGTTATGGTACTGCCGGCATTCGCCTGACGTTGATCGGAGAAACTACGGAAAACTACCGATCAGAGCAGTCGGACGGTAGAATTCTCCTCCAGACAGTGGCTGAATTCGACCTAGCAGTCTAGCCAGTGTGGAAAATCGTGCCACCGTCGGCCCCCCGGGTTAGGGGCACTGCAGTATCGTCAGTTGATGCCCTGAGCTACCTTTGGCGGTGAAGTGCCCCGAAACAATTGAATTTGAATTGAATTGAATTAATGCCTTATTTTACGTGGCGAGACTCGGGCCATCAGGCCCGCTCTTCCGTCTGACCACGCAAATTTCGCTACGCTCCTTTCACCAACTACCAGAGGAAGGAGGTATTTCTTGGGCGAGAAACAGGCGATTTTGAATTTAGCTCAGAGGCGTCATTTAGGCTTGGGGATCTTTTACATACAAGTAAATCTACTAACATGGGACAGCCGGCTTTACTTCCTCTCCGAAGCAAGGCGTACGAAGGATTTTTTTCGCCATTAAAAATCCACGTCAGTCCAAGTATACCCGACTTGGGTATACCAGTCCAATACGCTAACCGTTAGACCATCGCCGCCGCGAAACAATCAATCTGAGGAACACATTTCTTCTCGTACATATTATAAGACATGCACGTTCCTACATCACGTGAAACACTACGACACCGCGAGTAAACACATATAGCCGCCGGCGTACCTCATTCGTCTCGTAGTTCGGCGGTAGTCATTTGAAGAACAAGTTCAAAGCGCGCCCTGTTATCAGTGCCACCTCCTGCCACCAGGAGCGTTATCTTTCCGCTCCAAGTTCCCATTTCGATGTGTAGCACGAGTTGCGTATGGTTCGAATAAAACTGAAGGGATCTGGAGGCGATAACGGAAAACCTCGTTTCATATATCCAAATAAATATCTAAGAAAGTGTTAAAAAAGCGTTATGATCGACATACTGAACAAACGTGTTCATAGAACTGCAATTATGGGTGTAGAAAGCTGCAAGAAGTGCACGCAGAAACTACGACACGTCTAAATTACAAAAAACCTTATTTTTCCTCTGTCTGAGAAAAATGACAGAAATTACTATCTTCCCACGACTCCAATTACGTATTTGATTAGCTTTGACGTGATGGCATTGACACTTGCTCTACTAGGTAACGATATAGCTGTGATAGCTTATTAACAACTGCAACAAAACTAACCGCACACACTATTACAAATTCCTGGTGTAATTTATAATGTTAATGTGTTTCTAACACAATTAACGAAAAGAAGAGTAAATCTGGTTTACGAAGTGTTCTAATGAACAGTGAAAATTTCACTAAGCTTCTGATGTTTGAAACATCAAGAAACTTTATCCTTTCAATAAAAAAATATTTTGTACTTAAAAATAAATATTATTTTAGGGAAAATAAACATGTAAATAAAAAATAAGTATGCCCAAATCTTCCGAAATAGGCATTAGATGCAAAAGATTTCTATTTCCGATTCAATATTTTGCCATAAAACCTAGCTATTTGAAGTTTCTGAAAGATATGACCATTAACAAAAAAGCATACAATTATAAGAACTTTCCAGCTTTACGAATCCACTGAATATTTATGAAGCTCTAAGGCTGTCCAGTGCTCGTCCGTTAGGTCAAGAAAAACATCATTTTGGAGAATGCCAGTAAAATCTAATCAGCTGTTCGCTTCGTTAAGAGAGGAGGAACATTAACTGTGAAAAACGGGAGACCCAATAACTCCCGTTGCAATGACATCATAATAATTTGTCACTTCGTCGCGACGGTAGTTTCTAGTGCCATTACTCATGAACTTTATCCAGTTTTAGTCTAATTAGCAAATATGTTTTAAATTTACACGAGTCACATCACATGAATTTCAGCACCTGAAATAAAAAGGTATATATAAATCGCTAGGAATTGTACAAATATGAAGCCCATAGGTATTTGCGCGATTTTAAAATTTTTTACAAGTTCGCAAAAAGGAAGAAAAATCACACGTGTTTGAAACTTGGTTCAATTTAAAATGTGCCTGTCGGTGATGATAAATTCTTAATGAAACTATAATATAAACGTTATTTTACAAACCTTATGTTGCACAACAATGATAAGTGTGGACATGTAAAAACAGAAGTTGAATGTAAGTCGGAAAGTGTGGGGCTGAGATGCCACTTAATTCATTCAGAAGGGGCGCTATTCTCCTCCAAAATAAGAAAAAATAAATAAAAATTACAATGAGAGTGGGAATCTGAAAATGAAATTATTCGTTCTGAACTTGCCCGATGAATATCACTAAATCATAATTTGCATACAATGCTCTAGCAAGCAGGCATACAGGTACGTCAACAAATACTAACACGCATTCTCTGCCGTTCCCTCTCTCTTACACATACAATTTATTTTCTTTTACGTGTTTCAGGCTCCCATTCATGATTTTATTAGTATTCATAATATATGTAAAGAAACAAGTGACTTGTGATGTCCAGATGACAGATTATCACTACTAAGAATATCGGTCTTATTCTTAAAACTTACTTTGTTTGCTTCCTTTAACTTTTGTTGAGAAATAATCGTAAACAACTGACGCATTTTTTGACGCACAAATTTTCTTAGAACATTTCGGAATCTTAATGCAAAGAAATAATATCGTATGATTAGGTTGATTTGTAACGTGAACATCACACTCCGTAAGATGAAAAGAAATTACTATTTAATTGTTTGTCGAAAGCAGAAAGATCCAATATTTGTGTGTTGCAACTAATCAGGACGAGTTCGATTTTTTTCCTAAGCGAACTACACCTTTTCTTCTTTTTTATTACATTTAATTTTGAAACCTGTCATACACCAGTAATTAATGAAGTGGGTTACGCTTATGTCAAATAGAGTATACAAAATCTTATTTGAATACATTAAGACTTCATTGACGCTAGTATTTAAGTACTTATAAACTATATACTAAATAAACGCTAGTACTTAAGTACTATTAAACGTGGCGGTATAATTGATAGGCCTATTTTGTAAAAAAAATCAAATATTGTCTGGCAAACAATTCTTGCTTGCCTGTAATTAATTACAAATTATTAATAAACTTCGTTCTTAAATTGTGAACTTCGTACATTGAACATTGTAAACTGCTAACATGAGAATTTTCATTTTCGAAATACTGAGTTCTGTAGACGTGTAACGAATGGTATATAACCTCAAAACAGCACGCGAATTTGAGAATTCGCGACAGAGTGCTCTGCTCGCTGATGACGTCACGCTGCAAACTTAACCACGCGCCATTTGCAAAAACAAAATAACTCTTTCACCTAACACTTTTCATAAATTTCTTCAAATTTCGTTCCGTCTACCTCAATCATACGGATTCAATGTGTTTATACACATAGTACGCATTGGAATAGTCGAATGAAAGGCGAATTATGAGTAGACATGGCATTGACGTCACAAAACAGTTCACGTCGTGGGAAGGGAAAGGTGTCCCCGTTTCGATAGAACAAACACGTGTCCTTGGATCCTTGGCCACGTGTAGTGGTTGGGGGAGGGGGTCGGGAGAGGGGAGTTAGGGCCCTAGGGTCAACGACCTATTACTCAATTGCTGACACTGGCGGCCCCAATACGCTATAACCCATATGTCTCTGCAACACAACAAGTGGTTGCCGGTGTAAACTAGGAAAGAAACCTATCCGGGAATCATTGCACGATACTTTGCATATAAAATTGTTTCGACGATTTTTAAAACATATTGCATGTGGCATGTTCTTTGTTCTACTTCCAGCAATGTCAAAACTTTCTAATCATTTCCCTATTATACTGAAATGCAAAGAGCTAGTATTTAAGTTACAAAATCGTAATAGCAAAGAATTGTCGCTTTTTCTCCGTTCTTCGTCGACAAAAAGCAGCTGGTTGATAGTAGCGTCTACTTGACCTAATTAGCTTCTTCCTGGTCTTGTTGGTCTGTCTGTTTAGCTGGATAATTAAACATCTTTACGATATCTGAGACATTCGTTTTACATTAAAGAAAAAAATTAATAATTTTCTAAATTGATTGTAACATTTTTTCATAATAAAATCGTACAGTAATGTTCTGAAAAAAAATTGTTGAACATTCTTACGCGAAACACATCGAAAAACGAATGAAAAAACAAATTAAACTCTAATATTATTAAAAATCAATATATTATTTTTCAAAAAACAGTGTTACGTCACTACGAAAAGTAATAATCGATGGATTGAAAAATTAATACTCTTCAGAGAAAAGACAATGTTCAGCTAAGAAAAATGTTTACGAAGAAAATCTTCAGTTTTTTAAGAGAAACTTTCTCTCTGCTCTGCTGCAATTCTGCGCCGTCATTTCGCTGCCGCTCCCATGTTTAGTTTACACTTCATATAATAGTCGTTTCTTACTTTCAGGATTCACTTAAAATGTATTCGCGTTGCCTTCATATTATTACAATAATGGGATATTGAAATCAAGTTATCTGAGGTGATGTAATCTGGACATCATTTTTTTGGAAACGTCGACACCTAGAGTACAAAAATGCACGAGCCCGAAAAATCAATCATTAACAGATGTTTTCGTTTACATTACGCTGGAGGACTTGATACAATAAGATTAGCGCATACCACACATTACTATCAATGCGGTGGTAAGTTTCAACACAAATCCCCATTTTCTCGTCCTTGTGATTTCTCTTCACAATCATCCTGCAAAACTTTCAGAAACAGTATAACACCTTACCTCTAAGACACTGCCATTGAGTGATCCGGCTACAGCGAAGTGTGGCAATGTTGCACTAGCGGAGAGCCCCAAAAACACTCTATCGAATATTCCCGCGGATGTCCGCACACCCACTCGAAGAACAGAAGCCATCTGGACAGTTGAAGCAGCTTCCGCCCGCAAAACCAACAATCAACACGAACCCAGTGGGTTCTCACAGATCAGACTGTATGGCGTCCACTGCCGCGCGGTTCTGAAGCCGTTGGTTCTGGTCCGCGCCCTTCCTCTGTTCTGCCGAGGCCGCGGCGCCGAGGAGGTTGTGAGCGGCGTGGCGGCGGCGGCGACGGTGGCGGCCAGAGCGTCCCTACGCACTGTGTGCTGGTTCTGCGCATGCGCGTCACCTCCAGGGGGTTGAAAGGACGAGCGAGACGTCTCCAGGCAGTAGTGCTTGGCTGGCTGCTGGGCGCGGCTCACGGAAGGAAGGACATTGGGTGACACGTAGAACTGGAAAACGGGAATCTGTTGGGGTGGTCACATGGGAAAGGGGGGGGACTTTTCTTTGACCTAACTAGTAGTGGTAAAACAGCACGTACTTTCTCGACGTACTTTCACGCAAAATTACGCGATTAGAACTCAAATTATCGAAAATTTGTACATGACCTTATTTCAAAATCTATCTCCAAGGAACACATTTCCTTAATAGAAAAATCTTTATCTTCATAATTGTAGTTGTAGAAAGGTACCGAAAAAATTAAAATTTTTGCAATTATCGAAAATTTGGAGGTTTTAACGGAAATGAGACCTGCACCATTCTCCTAAACGTCCTTCATACTATCCAACAACAAAGTTTAATAAATAACAATGGGACAATTTTTTTGGAAAATTTTGAAAATGTCTCAGGGGCTTTATGTAAAATACCTCAAAAATTAAAATATTGGTTTCAAATTCAAGGGCCCGCGACAACAGCAAAATTTTGGAGAAAATCGACTGAACAGTTCAGCCGCAAGCGTTTCTGACAGACGGGCGAAAAGACAGACTTTTGCCATCTTTCGATTTTTCGGTATTACGGACGCATAAATCATGGATTCTGGCTACATCACGTGTTAGAAGACTTTTTTTTAAATATAACAACTGTATTTATCCCCTTATTTGTTACCAGTGTCACGTAATAAGAATTTTTGTGCCGAATATTCGCCGATTTTTGCCGCATTACATAATTTGCTTTCTACTCCGTAGCGAGAATGAAAAAAATGTGTTAATGCGAATAATTAAATTTCGTCCATCTTTTATTAACATTCACATTAACGCACTCGGGTAAGGGGGCTTTTACAATTAAAGTTTTTCTTAATTTTCTATAGTAAAGAAAGTAATTTAGTATTACAGTTGAATATGTTATAATTAACTATAAATAAAAAAGTAAAAATCAGTTTTGAGTCAGTAAGGATAATACAATTTCACAAGAAAATAACAAGTCACTTGGACTCCACAACTAGTGTAGCCTCCCTCCCCCATATAAAACTTTCGGTTAAGCAATAGAAAAGTATCTTTTCTTTCATAATTTATACTTTTGTTATTAAATATTTGCAATATATAACGAAAGATAATTGATGCAAAGACAGTTAAAGTTATTATTATTATTATTATTATTATTATTATTATTATTATTACTATATTTACTATATTATGTGTGATCACGCAACACGTTCTCTTCGTAAGCCTAGTCATATTCTGTCCTGGAGAGATATTAACGTGGGGGAATTAATAAGGGGATCAGCTTTTCTGTTGTATCCCTCGGTAAGAGGAGTTGTTAAGTCTTGAATAATGAATTATGATAGGATGATGATGATGATGTGTATGCCTATGATGATGACCGAGGGAAACCAAGAAAATCCCTGTTAGGATGGCCGGGGATTGAATCCGGGCTCCCCAAAATTTCCCAGTGTTTTGAATGACCTGGGAGTTTAGTCACGTTTTTACACCAAGTTTGCGGGAAAAAACCCAGAGCTTAGATAACTATAGGGACGACCTGTGCTTTCCCAACCCACATTCGGGTGATCTCGATTTCCAAACTTGTATTTAAGACGTTTTTCTGCCTCCTTAGTTACCACGTTTTGATCGCATCGCACCGCACTGCAACAACTACAAGTAGACATAATTATTTTTCGAAATCCCGGATTATTATTATAATTATTATTATTATTATTATTATTATTATTTCTTTTTTCTCAGAGTTTTCTCACCCGGGTTCCAGAGGAAGACCACGACAGGATGGTCGAAACGTCGGCAACTCAGCCTTCGACGCGTCGTCACCCGGACAGCCCAGATCACCCACATGACTCTGGTCGCGGAAGCCTACGACTTCATATGTATTGGAATGTCATAATACATTTTGAACTGATTAGTTTCTGTGACGGGTTTGGCTTTGTATTCATAGTAGGAGATGCTTTCTTCTTATGTCAGTAGCGCATGTTTGGTTCCCAAAGTTTGGTGTACACTATTTGCAGTCAGGTTGTGTCGATGTAGACTCCATGTGTTGGCGAAGTTTGTGATGAGGAGGTCTATTGTCTCTGATGATCGATGGCACACTCTACATTCGTCATTAACTTCTAGATTTTCAATAATTCTTTTGTAGTTATTAGTAGAAATAACTTGGTTCTGAATTGCTTGAATGAAACCCTCAGTCTCTCCACGTAGAGCCTCATCTCTCAGCCACCGCACTGAAGCGTCGTAGTCGGCACTTTCAAGAGCATGGAGAAATCTACATTTGGAGAGGTTTGGGCGTCCATACCTGTAATCTGTCTTTGATTGGTGTAATATCAGGGTAGTCTGCATTGTTGCTGAGATTTAAGGGAGTATAGTCTATGCCACATAATACTGCTTTATGAAGAGGCGACAGTTCTGATTGCGAAACGACGTTCTTTTTCAGACTTGTTGCCTAGCGGTTGCATAATGCTTTCAGATCTAGTAGGCCACGACCACCTGTTTTCCTGAGAATCTAGACACGTTTAATTCCTGATTTAGGGTGATGCATTCTGAACTTCGTGAGCTTAGTGCGTACCATTCTGTTTAGGTTATCAAGATCTGTTTGTGACTAACTGACTGTTCGAAAGGAATAAGTTAGCATAGGGATGCTCCAGAAATTTATAGCTTTTACTTTATTCTTGGAAATCAGCTTATTCCGAAGGTGGAGCCGAAAAATTTTCTAGTTGCTGCTTACTGTCTCTGTGATTGACCATAACATTTTGATTGAAACCTAAATACTTGTAACTATCATGTGGCTGTAATTGTTCTAATGGACTAAAATCTGATAAACAGTGAAGTGTGGTCGAGGATTCGACTTTTCTTTCTTTAACATACATTGTGGCACATTTGTCTGTTCCAAAAGTTATGTGTATGTCTTTGTTGAATTGTGATGTGATCTCCAACATTCTACTTATCTCATTCCGGCTTTTTACAAATACTTTTAAGACGTCCATATAGAACAAGTGGTTGATGGTGTGATGGGTTTCTTTCCATCAAGGAGTTTGAAACCCAGACCAGATTGATTCAGCATATGTGATAAAGGATTAATTGCTAAGCAAACCCAAAGTAAAAGTATTTGGATAAATTTTATAGATTTCCAGCACTTTCAAGAGCAAATCGTGAGGAACCAAGTCGTAAGCGTTTTGGTAGTCAATCCAACTGACCGCTAGATTTCTTTTCTTCTTTTTTGTTTGCCCTTGGGTACCCTTCCGGTTTGTTCTTCTGACAGAATTATTTCAATCTTGATATGTTGTGTTACTTTTTGAGCAATCGTCGCGGAAATTATTTTATAAGGGGTATTGAGGCAAGTGATAGGCGGATAAGTTTTTGTGTTAGTTGTTTCAGAACTCTTGGGTTTTAGGTACGAAACAGCCTGGCTAAGAAATAAAAGTACTTCAGTTGGTCTATCAAAGGCCCGATGAAGGATGTCAATGAGTGGTGTGTGCAGGGACGTAAGGTACGTCTACCAGAAATTTTGAATTTCATCTGCTCCGGCAGATTTCCAGTTATACAGGTTTCATAATATCTGTTTCAATTCCTCCTGTGTAACTGTTGGTGTTTCCATATTTGTGGCGAATCTTAATGGTTCGTTTGGCAACCATGATGCTTAGGTGTTATGGTTAACAGGATGCGACGAGAGTGAACTCCAAAATTGTTCAATTGACGCCAGGGGAGGCGGTTCACTGTTTGTATCTTTTGGAGATGTGGTAGAAGTGTTTCTGATTGAGACTTAAGTTTCTATTTTTTACTTTCTTTTTGTTAGAGATGTTGTACCGACGGAGTCTTCTCCCTAGTGCTGCAACTTTCTGTTTCAAAGTGTTGATATAGACATCTAGTTCGCACTCGAAGTCTTTATCTCTAATTCTGATCCTGTGACCTTTCAGTATTTTGTAGACACTGTCTTTCAGGCGTTGTTTGCATTCCTGCTGCCTATCTCTCCAAACAACTAATTTAGTTAGGTCACTTCTAAACCGCTTAATTTTGTTTTCCAGCCTTATCTTCCATTTTAGAGTCATTGTTTCATTTTTGCCTGAACCGTTATTTGTTTTGGGTATTACGTTTTGCGTTAAAATGATAGTACTAGCAATACAGGATGCAGGCAGTTCTACCGCTTCGGATGTCTCTATACGTTTTTCTGCAAGGATATTAATTATGATGTCAAGAAGTTGAAATGTGATTTTGTTAGGGCGCGTTCTTGGTAGAGGTTTTCGACAGTTGGGATCTATTCCAAAAAATATATTGAGCTTTTTTTTTCAATTCTCTCCTAGTTTGAACTACTTCTTCTGCGTTTGCTGTCTCTTTATCTGCTGAAGGATAATTTGTTTGTTTTGTGATTTGTTCATTATTCTGATCAACTTCGTTTAGTATTTATTGAATGGGTACATTCATATCAGATACATCCTTAAAGTAATTATGGTAAATTTCATACCCATATCGAATTTTGTTCTCAAATCCTAATGACTGGTTTGCTGATAACATGTCTTCGCCCATCGCATATGTTTTGTTCCGTAAAACTAAGTCTGTCTTAACTTTAAAAATTCTTCATGCATTTTCTGCGATAGTCTGTCCGGTTTGTTTGGCATTTTGTCACTATTTCACTCGCCCGTAGTAAGTCACAGTTATCTTTGTGTTGCCAGTTGTAACGGGTCTCTACGGAAATCTCATTAGGACCTCTAGTCTTCAACGACGGAGGTAAACTAACCGGTGTCGATGACTTCTGTGCTTCGCTGTTTGAAGCGGAATATTCCAGTAGCTAAT